TTAGGGATTCTTGATAAAATCCAAAGAAGAATCTACAATATTATCGGACCTGAATTGGCACCTCGGTTTCACACACTTTCCCAATGTCATATCGTAGCTTCCGCATGCCTTTTCTAAAATATATTCATAGTAAATGTTATGAGCAGCTTATTTCTTTGGTAATTAGACTTTATGAGTTGAAGCGTACTACTAGATTGGCGGCAAGGTCTTATTATTTTACAGATGAAATAACTAGATGTAACCGTAAGTTCTATGCTAACAGTTTCTTCTCTCACAGTTTTCGCTTGTGGAACTCTCTTCAGGTTTCCTTGCTTTCCTGTTAACTACGATCTTCAAAAATCTAAATACAATGTCAATCGTAATCTTCTGTCTCCTTGAATTCTGTTTTTTTTTTTTTTTAAATTATTATTGTTGTCTTTGTTTCTTTTAATTCCAGTAACTTCGTGCATCTTTTTTTTTACGCATGTAGAGGCAATTCTGTCTAGGACAGTTTAGTGTTTGCTAGAGATCAATGTATGGTATCTGTGAAATTTCTGAAAACTATTCACACACACACACACACACACACACACACACACACAAACAAACAAAAAAACAAAAACAAAAAAAGAAACCCCAAAATAAAAGATATTTAAAATTCTCGACCAGACATACTTCTGAATAAATAATAAAACATATTTTCCCAACCTTCTCTTGATTGGGCCAATAACCTTTCAGTAACATATATATCTATTTTTAAGACATTTTTATGTTTAAATATTCTTTTTATAGACACAAATATTTAGGTAAATATTTGTATCTATAAAAAGAATGTATAAACATAAAAAATGTCTTAAAAATAATTGTCGGACTTTGTTCATTTCATAATGTATGACGTCATTTGTTTACATTTGGATGCGCTTTGAGCAGATATGAATGTACGTGAGAGAATCATGGAGGATTGTAGTTTAAAGACAGTAAATTCGACCTCTCTAATCGAACGATTCACTGTGGCTCGATCGGTTAAGAGCACGTCAGGCTAAATGTCGGTTTCGTGTAGGATACAGGTTCGAATCCTATCGGAGAACATATTTTTTATGAAAATTTCTCGGACATTCAGGCAGGTAAATGCTGTTAAATACTGTTTATTATAAACAGAGCATTTACTTAAATATTTGTATCTATAAAAAGAATGTATAAACATAAAAAATGTCTTAAAAATAATTGTCGGACTTTGTCCATTTCATGATATATATCTATATATACGTTTTTTTCTTGATGTAAATGAAACTTAAATTTGAAAGGGGGAAAGACTCCTAGAGTACTTGGATAAGTATATACCATTTTGATCAAAAAGGATCGCCGGGGTTGCTGGGAACAACCTTCCGCCCCCCCCCCAGTGATTTTTTCCTTTGATTTAAATTAAATTAAAATTTGATCAAGAGAATGACTTATATCCAAAATATAGAAGGAGAAAGCCAGAAGATGGAGGTCACATCGGCAAAATCATTGAGCAATATTGAAATAATTTTTCTCCACAATTTATAACAATGATTTAAAAATCAATCATCATTTTTGTACAAAAATAATGTGTGACACGCGGGTAATTGGCTAGTATATATATATATATATATATATATATATATATATATATATATATATATATATATATGTGTGTGTGTATGTGTGTGGTATATATATATATATATATATATATATATATATGGGGACGCGTCATCTTGTGATTAGAACGTTCGCTTTTTGACTATAAGATCCCGTTTCGAAACTCACCACGGTCGGATTTGTTACGAATGTAAGTTTTTCATATTATCGGCGTGGGATGACGTTGGAAAAACGCCCTAAGATCTCACCTCGAGTTGACCGGAAGTCTTTTGATTGAAACTGCATGCATAAAACTGTACGCAAGCCGCAAGTCACCGTGACCGAGGGTTTTAAGAGTACAGGCCTTATTCAGAAAAGTTGATCATACCAGATTATGCGCGTTCTCGCCTAGAAATTGTAATTAACATCTGTTCATCATAGTTGTATATATATATATATATATATATATATATATATATATATATATATATATATATATACATAGTTATGCAGTATAGACATTAGCATCGTCGGGGGATGGGTGTCTCTGTCCCTGATTAGACGTTTGTAACCTCTTTCACCCTTTTATGCACGATGTTCAGCTAGAAGGGTGTGGCCATAATCACCACTAGCCAATCCTTATATATTATACTATAACATTATTGTACCAACTTTTCGTTATGGTACAATTGTTGGGCGTCATGCTTAAGTGGGTTAAACACAATAATAATATATCACGTGAATATCTGTGTAAAATTATATTTGAATAAAGGAGACAGTCTTCACCAAAATAAATTTTACACCGTGTGACATATTAAGTAAATTTTAGGAATGGTGACAGTTTCGTCTGTGGCCGCTTTTATTAAAGTTAAAACCACCTCAGGTGGAAGGTTTACTTAAGTAGCTGAACAACTTAACATTATTTCTTTCTATGCCATCGGAATTTAATGAAGGAAAATAAAAAATAAAAAAATTTAATCGTTAAGAAAACTAATATAGGGTGTCCATAAAGTTCGTGTGCACATTAAAAAAATTATAACTTTATTTGTATTTGGTATAGAAATAATTTGTAAAAAGGATTAGAAAGAAGTAAATCTATATTTTTTAAGGTTTTATTGAAATTTTATTTAAGTTTCCACATGTCCTCCATCATTAGCAATACAAAGGGTAATACGATTTTGCAGTTCACGGAAAACATTTGCCAACTGATTTACAGTAATGCCTGAAATCACATTAGTTATTTTAGCTATACTTAAAACTAGGTACATTAAACTTTATAACATTTTTTACAGATTATTTCTATCACAAATACAAATAAAGTTACAAATTTTTTAAAGTGTACACGAACTTTATGGACACCCTGTATATATGTAAGAAAGAAGACAAAAAAAAAATACTTTCTGGAAATTATCTAGTTGATAGACTCTTACTCTCTATCTTTAAGAATGAATTACCTACAATTAAGAACAACCTATTTTATTGCCGTAGCAAAACTGAATTGGCAGAATAAAAAAAAGGAGTGAATGAAGACGTATATATCGAGAGGTCTTTTTTCATATGTACGTGTGTGTGAAGTTCCGATAAAGATTGTGAGAGACTTACATTTGAGAAACTTTATCTGTACAAGGCCGCTCAAAGTAGAGGGTTACTGAGTAACATATTAGCTTATGCGGATATGTGTGGAAGATAACTATTAAACATAAATAGGTTAAGAGTGTAGTGATTTGGGAAGCATCATCTTGGGGTCGGTTACATAAGGAAATGGTTCGTGGGAATAAGCTACTTGAGTGGAACTTACATCTCACCCGTGGAATATGAAAGTAATGAGGTTGGTTCGCTACAATATGCGTGGCATGGCGGGTCTTAAACGTGAAGTTTAGGACTGGTGGAACTACATTCTCCATGGATATAGCGATAGAACAGAGACAGGATTGCGGCGTCTCGTCTGTGAGAAAGTATTTGCAGAGTGGAAAATAACTCGTCGCCTACAAAGACGCGGCGACGTTTTTGGACTCTATCGAGAGTGAAAAGTGAAGACTGGACAGCTCCAACCCATATATGGTAGCAGTGTCGCATTTTTGGCCTGATCTGGCTCTTGATAAGTCGAGGATCTCAGGGAGGATATTGCTGGAGCGCTACATGGAACCGACCATTTTCGCAGCATCATTAGCGATGGATTGTATGTACGAGTTCCACTTGAGGTCTGGGTTGAGTTTAAGTCCCAAGAGACGCTCAACGCACGGCGCCTGCCTGAGGGAAAATCCATTCATCACGAATGATGAAAGTTCTGGGTCCGATCGGTGTTGGTGGAAGGTCACTAGTTTGGTTTTTGAGGCACTGGATGTGTGACCAGCCAGTTTTTTTCCCTACTGAGCTGCTAGAGCTAGATTAGAGAAAAGATCAGCTGCCAAGCTCTGGTCATCGAAGGTTTTGGCAGAATTATTATGCTGGTGTGTAGTCACGAGATCTTTAGATATTGCATGCTTCATACTAATCTATGTTATATGCAAATGCGACATGCGGTTGACTGAGGATCAAAAGGTTCCCCAGAGGGTCACGAGACATGTCTTGTCTCTAAGGCATCAAAAGGTAAAAAGAAAAAGAGGATGAAACATTTGCTTCCGTATATACTACTTCGGCAACGCTATCTAGCGGTCGTTCTTTCACAGACAAGGGGAATAACCCCATAATCTTGTTTCAAGCACATTGCAAGAGTATCTCTCCGGTAACAAAAATTAGAAAAATGTTTCGCTGTAAATTTTCTTTAGAAAAAAAATTAATTACCCGTCTCTCCTACTTGACATGATTCTATAATGCACAATTTTTTTCAGGTATAAAATATTTTTAACTATGTATTTAATTTTCATTCCAGTATCTAGAGTTCCAGTAACATCAAATGATCTTGTCAGGATTAGTGACAGAAAAGGACTATTCCATTCAACAGTTCTTCGCTAGCACACGTAGAACCGGTTGACCGATCTAACACTGAAATAGAATGGTGTTAGTACACAAGAGGACCCCATGATAAATGTGCAATGCAAGGATTATATAAAATATACAAATATGAGTCAAAGGGTTAATGATGGTACTGAAAACTAAGTTGTCCACGTTGCCAAGTAGGTTAGTGTACATTGGGAAAATCAAGCAAGAGAAATGCTGAAAAACAAGGGAAAAACATTTGATTTAAATATCAAAGTATTTCACTAGAAATAGCCGTATTGACTCGATCTCTTGAGCTGTAATGGAACTGAAAACTAAGTTGTCCACGTTGCCAAGTAGGTTAGTGCACATTGAAAAAAATTAAATCCAAGAGAAATGCCGACAAACAAGGGTAAAAAAAACCCTCTAATTTAAATGTCAAAGTATTTCACTAGAAATAGCCGTATTGAGTCGATCTCTTGAGCTGTAACTGATAAGAGATGGGACGTCCGTCTCGGTTGCTTGCTGGTCTGGAACTGAGTTTCTCGGCTGGCCTTATTTGTCCTCTCGGGCGGGGTTTGTCATTTGACATCTTATATGTGAGGATATATTATTACTTTTTACAGTTTTAACAGTAACATTTTGTTCGGTATTGTTACAGTTTTAATACTCTAACATTTTGATCGGCATTATTGCTGACGTTAATAATTCTATTGACTACATAACTTATTTGGTTACATAAATATATTCCGCCCGCACTTATATTTAATAATTCAGTGTTATGGTGTTAGGTTAAGTACAAGTATTGGTAGTCGTCTAGGTAAACTTTAGCCTACCAGATACCTTAACTTTGTGTGTAAGGCGGAAGGATATTTCTGAGGTATTTTGAGGGAGGGAAGCATGTTTTTATATAGCATAAAACGTAGTGGTTGCAGTTTTTTCCTCGGATTTCTTTCTTTCTGTATTTTACAAGAAATTTCGGAGTCGTTCCCAGCGTTATAATCATCACCTTTATATATAAAAGTTTTGTTTTTCGCTGTCTCTTTAACAAGGTACAAATATTTATCCAACTTTGCAGTCTTTGGGTTTCACTTCACGGTCTACTGGAACATTATTTTATACATCTCTTTATTTACACCAGATGTCTAAAGGCTATCGATAGCGATCAAGTGACAGCAAGTCCCCTTCAGTTTATACTTTTCTCAATCTCCTCGGCACCGTTTTTGGGACAGTATTTCTCGAAATTCTAATTAATTCTGTCCCGATTTTCATGGTTTTAGCATTGTTCCAAGCGCTCTATCTGTTATGTTCACGACTCTTAGTAATTCTCGGGCGAGCTCTTTTTTTTTTTTTGTGTTTTTTGGGTTTTTTCAATTTCTTTCTTTTTCCGTTTTTCCGTTTTGTACGCCTACTATAGTTTATCTGACAGGTCTTGCTTTCTTTGTTTACGACTATAATCACGCTTTGAAAGGTATAGTTCATTCTGAGTCAAACAGATCCATGGTATTTCCTGTTTTTATTCGTTGAATACTCTCAGTAAGCATATATGGTAACCATTGATAGAGAGATCAAGTGCTAGCAAGTTTCTTCGTTCAAGTAATTTCTTTTTGCAGATTTTAGAAGTATTATTTTAATACTTCAATAGATATCTCATTTTCAAAGGTTTCTGTAACTCATAAGAGTATCAATAATTAGGAGCTGTACTTTCACCCAATAAGTGAAAGTGCCAGTCGTAACTGGTGGCCCACAATTGAAGATCAAGTGACAACAAGTCTCACGACTTCAGCACGTATATTCGTCGTAGGTGTGAGCAATATATAACGATATTCATTAAACCTAGTACATTACAATGTCAAAAATTACAGACACCTCGTACTGATCAAAAACGTTTTTTAATATGCTATTTTTCACCTAATACAAGACCCAAGAGCCACTCAAAATAGAGGGTTACTGAATGAGTTTGTATGAACGTAAGAGGACGAAGTAAGTGTATATTATGAGGATATATATAGGATAGATAAGAGTTGACTCTAGACTTGAAGAGGTTAATATTGTAGCGATCGAGGAAGCATTCTCTCGGGAGTCTGTTCCGCAGAGTAATAGTTCTTTGGAAGGTTTTCTCTGAGTGGAACTTGCTTTTTACATCGAACACGAAGGGAATGAGGATGATTCAGTCCTGTGTATGTGGCATAGCTGGTCTTAGGCTTAAAGGCTCAAAAGAAACTAAAGAATAAAGCTCGCCTGGACTATGTGACGTTGAAATAACGATAGGCTACTGGGAAAAGGGTTGCATGGTGGGATCACCCACAAGGCTGCGTAAATACTTTTAAACTCTATCAAGGCTGGAAAAGTAAAATTGCCCAATTCCAGTCCAGATATGGCAGCAGTGTTCCGTTTTTGTTCTGATCTGATCTTTGTAATGATAGAAGCTACAACTACACAGAACTGATTATCTAAGGGCTTTTTCTTCAGTTTTCCAAAATTGATGTCTATAATTTACAAGTACGGATGCCTAAAAAGAAAGAAAAAAGTTTCAGTTGCATTTTCTTTTGTTCTTTGCCTAGAAATTCAGTTTTCTTTCACTATAATATTCCTTCAGGACGTAGGTCATATGTCTCTCCATATATTTCTTATCTGTGAATTAGCCATCTTCTTCTCTCCTTCTCCCGGTTATGGATTAAATAGTAGGACATTTAATATGTTTATTTCATTAGTTCCAATTCTCCCGAGTTAGAGTTTTGGGCTTTCATGGTGAGGACGAATGAAGAAGTTCTCTGAATGGAACTTGTTTTTTACATAGAATGCGAAGGAAATGAGAATGATTCAACTCTGTGTATGTAGCATAGCTTGTGTTAGGTTTAAAGTCCCAAATTGCTGGAACTAAAGAATATAGTTCCCCTGAACATAAGGTTGAGAAAAAGGAAACAAGCTATTTTTTGAAGTTATACTTTGAGGCTACTGTAGAATAGTCTCGCTATTAAGGATATAGTATAATATATAACTTTGATCAAAAGACAATTATGAAACAAAAATGTTTTCACTGTAATATGATATACGAAGGGGTGCCGAATTGTCCTTGGCAAGAGCCACGCTCTAAATTCTGACGATAGGATCACAATATCTTTTGGAATCCGTTCTTGGTCAAACCGAGGAATTTACAACACACACTCGTAGATAATAATTCTTGGGGGATCAATTGATTGCTTAATAACAATAGAAAATCGATCCCCCACTTTATGCCCACTATAATCACGTAACTATTGTGTCGAATTATTCTGGGTTCGGCCAATTTCCCAAAATGTGACTTAATGACAAAACATCAGAATTTTCTTTTTTTTTTTACCACTCCCTCGTACACTGTATGACAGTTGAGAGTCCTATTCAATTATGGACGTCCCCCAAAGCTAGCAATTAATTTAATGCTATCTATAAAGTTTGATTTAAAAAAAAAATGAAGGACCAATCCCTGACCAAAATATTTTGTCAATAATAAATTATGTTGCCCGTACTACCGTCTGATCACAGTTCAATGCTATAACCACTGACCTATTATATTGCCCGTTCCGCCTTCTGATTACAGTTCTATGCTATAACCACTGACCTATTATGTTGCCCTTTCCGCTTTCTGATTACAGTTCTATGCTATAACCACTGATCTACACCCAAGAGCAAAAGTTGGAATTGTAATAATGCTAACATGTTTTTGGTTTAGTTTGTTTTGTGTCATATCAACCTCAATGGGTTATTTAATGCCGAAAAGATTTTTATTACTGGTAATATATTTTTTTTCAAAAATTTATTCTTAGTAATATTATTTTTTCCAAAAATCTATTCCTGGTAATATTTTTTTTCAAAAATGTATTGTTGGTAAAAAATTTTTCCAGAAAACATTGCTAGTATTAAAACCTATTTTTATACTTTCATAGTGTTTTGACCCCTTTTGGGGACAGGATCAGGGTGGACCTGGGAACCCCAGCAATTAAGAGGTGGCTCCACGCTCCTCAAAATCTTCTGATCAAAGGCCTTGCTGTCGGATGTAGTTTACCGTCTTACCCAGGACGCGGATGTAGTTTATCATCATACCCAGGACGGGCTTACGTATTTAGTGATTAATTTATATATAGAATTTCTTTTGATCTTTGCCTCACAATAAAACCTGATATCGCCCCCAAACAAGCTATTATCAACATCTTTTAATAATTTCACCCGAAGACAGGCAATAAAAGCCACATTGAATTCGGTTAACAGTAATGCAATGACTGGACAATAAGAGAAATAAATGAATCTGAAGGGGCAAAGGGTGCAGAATACGTTGCACATAGGAAAATCTTCCTTCTCAGTTGCACAGTTATTTGCTGCGTCGTATTTGTAACATAAGAACGAGCGAAGTATACGTAGTGAGAACTAATTGATGATGTCATATTTTTTATTCCAATATGTTATTTAAACGAGCTGGTTGTTTATAGGGGTGTTATGTATGAACAGTTCTTTTTTTACTGCAATGAGTTCCTGAAAGTGAAAAAACGACAATGAATGACGATTAACATTGCATTCAAATTCTTGAAGATCGTTGTTGACAATGGATGTCCGGTGGGATATAATGAATATCAGCTCAGAATAAGAAATCGAAGAGCCGAGTTCGAATTCCAGTCGGGTTCGTTACATTCACGCGCAAATACCCTTGGGAAAGGTATGAATCCTCTTCTACTCTCCCCCGGCTATGGGATAAATAGCAAGACAGGCTTGGTCCTATAGTCCTGGTTTTAAACCAGTCTACTGCAGTAAGAAAAGGCAGTCTACTGCGGGAAAATCATCTGCCTTGTCAGTCGTGGATCGAAAGAGCCATAATCACACAAGATTGAATCCCGTATAGCACGGACTGAATTGACAAGAAAACAGGGACACAGAAAAGATTTCGCAAGAGAGGGGTGCAGAAGAAAAAAAATTCGCGTATAACTTAAGCCTACAACTGGCAATTTCAAGAGTGAAGTTATGACATCCAGCTGCTAATCAAGTACTGTGCTTAAAGTCGGGGGTAGCAACAATGAAAGATCATCAGAACATCTTTCTGCGTTGGGCAGAGCGTAAATAATTAGCGTGTAAATTACTCTTTTTGAGTAATTTCACGTTTACTTATCATCTCTCAGTTGCGCTCAGGGGCTTCTCTGTCAAAGGACAGAGGGGCAACTGAGAAAATAATACTGAAGAGGTGCCCAACCCTGGGGAACAGCTGCCCGAGGCCGTGCCCTCCCATTGCGCCAGAAGGAGGAGGTTCTCGCACCGAAGCCAGCGCACCGACGGTTGCGGGGGGTGAGGGCAATTTTTGTTCCTGTCCCGGGCGTACGCGCTTGGGTCCCCACCTAAAAATAGACCTTGTGTCACATCTCGTCCTAGTGGGGGGACAGAGTAAATACCATGTGTAGCCTTCAAATTTTTATGTCATAGAATATTTTGTAGGTCCCCTGTGAATATGCGGTATTGTGGTATATGCAGGGTTGAGTAGTGACGGATGTGTTCTTGTGGTGCGTGCGTAAATTGAATGAATGGGTCTTGAGTCGGATTATTTAGGACTAGGATAGCTAACGAAAACCAGCCCCTCCCTATTTCACCCTCAGCCTTCTGCCACAATTCTGTATTATTTAGAATAAATCTCAAATTACTATGAAGTAGAGTTGGGACCTTTTAACCCCAGCATTCGTGAAATAATATATTGCTAATATAAGTATATGTTGAAAATGTAACAATATCGGTTGATTAATACTAATTTTATTGTAAAAAGACTTTCATGATAAAATTTGTGTGCGCGCGCGTATGTCCGTGATGCTAAGAAGGTTTGTACCGTTTGTGATGGTCCTCGAGGTCATTTGTAACGACGAAATTTACGCTGTCTGGTAGGACTTTTTGTTTAATTAGATTTAACGAACATTCAGACCGGAAGACGAAAATAAAAAATAAAAAAAATATACTGTTTAATAAATAAACGGAGCGTCTACTCAAATACGTGTATCCACTAAAAATGGCATTTAAAGTGATAAATTTAAATTAATATATATATATATATATGTGTGTGTGTGTGTGTGTGTGTGTGTGTGTGTGTGTGTGTGTGTGTGTGTATCTTCTTTAAGCAGCATATCTTCATTCAAACATGTTTTATTGACTAATATATACATATTATGTCTATTTATTTTACAAAATAATCCTTTCTAGTTCCGTTCTGGGTATGAGGATAAACTACATCCAACAGCAAGGCCTCTGATCAGGAGGTTTTGAGGAGCATGGAACCACCTCTTAATTGCTGGTGTTCCCAGGTCCACCCTGACCCGGGGTGGTAGCACCCGTTAGGGGGTCCTATCTATGAGCAAATAGTTAACCTCCGAACTGGGATCAAAACACTATGAAAGTGTAAAAATAGGTTTTAATACCAGAAATACTTACCAGCAATTAATTTTTGAAGAAAACAATTATTACCAGCAATACATTTTTGAAAAAAAAATATTACCGGAAATAAATTTTTGAATGAAAAAAAAAAACATTACCAGAAACAGATTTTTGAAGGAAAAGAATATTACCTGAAATGGATTTTTGAATGCAAAAAAAAACATTACCAGAAACAGATTTCTGAAGGAAAAAAATATTACCAGAAATAGATTTTTGAATGAAAAAACATTACCAGAAACAGATTTTTGAAGGAAAAAATATTACCTTACCAGAAATAGATTTTTGAATGAAAAAACATTACCAGAAACAGATTTCTGAAGGAAAAAATATTACCAGAAATGGATTTTTGAATGAAAAAACATTACCAGAAACAGATTTCTGAAGGAAAAAAATATTAACAGAAATAGATTTTTGAATGAAAAAACATTACCAGAAACTGATTTTTGAAGGAAAAAAACATTAGCAGCAATAAAAATGTTGTCGGCATTAAATAACCCGCTGAGGTTGGTATGCCACAAAGCAAAGCAAAGCAAAGCAAACCTTTCTAGTTCACTAATCAGTTTCTTGATGTTAAGATGAAATTCAACGAGGAAGGCGTCGTAGATTTTTCCTATCGCTCCGAGATCATCCTCAGACAAACTTATTGTAACTGTGATCGTTGTAATGGTGATTTTTAAAAATCAGATAACCAGAAAGTGGTAGAAATGCAAAATGGTATTAAATGTTTGTTAAATACAACACATTGCTGCTACACTCACAATACATTGTGTTGAGTGTTGGTTACTTTTGATATAGAGGGCCTCGAGAATTTGAAATTTTTGTTTATTATATTTGCGGTGTAGTATATTGGTGTTGTCAACAAGCATCTATCTATCTATCTATCTATCTATCTATCTATCTATCTCTCTCTCTCTCTCTATATATATATATATATATATATATATATATATATATATATAAGTGAACACTGAAGTCAACACTCAGAGGTGACAGACTGTTTCATGCTAAACGCAATCATCAGGCCACGTGAGATGTGTTTTTCTCGACTATTTAAATATATGGGTCAGTGGTGCATTGAGGGTAGTCTATTCTAACGGTTATTTTGACGGGAGTGGTTTGTTAATTTGCTTATTTATTTTATATATTTATTTATTTGGATCAATTTATTTTACTTGTTTTCGCTTATTTATTTTTATTTTATCTATCTTTATTTATTTTTTGCATTTTTCGAGGTTTAAGTAACGTAGTAAAAATTTGTTTTCGTGTGTACATTTTGAGATGAGTTCAGATTGTTTATTTAGCAGTTTGTTTTCTATATAATGACCCGTATATATAAATAGGGGAGAAAAAAAACAACGCATGTGACCTGATGATTGCGTTTAACATGAAACAGTCTATCGCCTCTCAGTGTCGACTTCAATGTTCACTTTTATATTTACATACGCTCTATCTCTGATACTGTGCACTTTATCCCATAAATATAACATATATATATATATATATATATATATATATATATATATATATATATATGGGTGGTAAAAAGCGAGGAAAATTTAACCCATTTAACTGAATAAAATGTTGAGTTCAGAGGTTAGTCAAAGCAGGCCCGAAAGGCACAACAGCGAAAATGTTGTGACTGTAACAATCAAGTCGAGGAAATCAATTCGACTAAATCGACGTATACTTAGTGCGATATTTCATCGATAAAGTCGAAGTATTTATTTTTAATAGTTTACTCCAAGTAAGGCAGTAAAGCCACTAAGACACAAGGGGTTACTGGGTGTGTAAGAATTAGAAAACAAAAATACCACTAAGAAGCGAGTACAGAAGAAGAGTAACTGGGAGGACAGTAGATTACTATGGAAGTATTATAGAAAAGGCCGAGATGCCAGATGAAGACTAATAATATTGCCAATTCTTCTTTGGGTTTTATCTCTAGATAGATAGCAAAAGCACCGGACCATATGTGGCAGCAATATTCTAAGCACGGACGAATGGTAGACTTATAGATATGTAAGATAGATTCTGAAGAGAAAAACTGTCTAGCACAATACAGTGATCCAACTTTCTTAGCAACTAACCTAGCAATGGATTCAATATAGTCTTTCCACTTCATGTCAGCTGAGAACATTAACCCTAGAAGATGCAACGGGTCACTTTCCTGGAGGTTAGCATCAGCCATAATCAGGGAAGACAGAAAGGGATATCTCAGATGATTAATAGAGAGCAGTTTCGTTTTGGAGGCGTTAAATTTATCAACGAGACGTTTCGGTCAAATACTCTCTGGCCATCTTCAGATTTCCATTATATAGGATATAATGTTGTGTTGACTATGGTGTTATTTTCAGTCAACATACTCTGATTTAGCAGGAACGAACAAAAAGACAAAATGGAAAATTAATCAACGCATAAGATATCCCGGAGAATGCACATCTGAAGATGACCAGAGGGTACTTGGCCGAAACGTTGTTCGCATTTCTATTGTTATAGCGACTTACTAAGATTAGTTTAGATGTGGCATAAGGCCGAAAGTATGGAGTACCAAGTGAGGATCGAACTTACTACTCAGTTATAACTGAGCTAGCGAGTTAAGCTTGTTAACCATTACACCACGTTGGAGACATATATAGCAATAAAAATGAGAACAATACTTCGATAAAATCTAATAAACGGATATGTACACTGATTTATTCAAACTGGTATCTTCATCTCGATTGTTATTTCAGCTGTTATAGCCTTTGGTATTCATCAAGTTTGTGACGTATTTGGCAGCTTTCTGTTAATTTTGAACTGAACCCTTTATTAAATCCTATGGTTAAATTGTTCTCACGTCGTTGCTTATACTAAGGGAGATAACTCGTATTATGTGTTCCTTGTTAATTCGTTCTTGTTTCTGAACGTGCCACTGAAAATCACTTCATCAAGACACAGGCAAACTCATCTTTATGCGCATTTTAAATAAATTCTTTCGCCTACATGCTGAACGGCTTAGCACAAAGAAGATACGGCGAAACATTTCATCAGGTCCAGTTACAACGTCTAATTTTTTTTTTTTAATCTCTTGCTTAACACTAAACAAGGAAATGTTTTTTTCGTCTGTTAGTTCAACTTTTCGCGTATCATCACTGCCTTGTTTCAATCAGATAGCAAGTGACTTATCGTCACCTTCTCGTTACTAATCCATTTTCTATTATTCTGTACTTTTTATTTTCTGGATTAACTTGGAAACACGCCTACCAATCAAGTGCTGCGCCCCGATATACCACCAAGAACATCAAAAAGAGCGATAAACAGCTCACCGCACCGAGCCGTTTGTCGCCCGTTGTAATATTGCGACGAAGCCAACATGTAAAAACAGCTTCCGGGTTGGGTGTCCGATATCATTTGCACAGTAAATTGCAATTGCAGAATTTAGAGAGTATATATATATATATATATATATATATATATATATATATATATATATATTGCTTGTTTTTTTTAGTTTTACGCCGATAAGATTAGCATACACGATATGTTTGAAGATGTTGTATATATGACCAAATCTAGCTTGAGTTCTGACCTTAAGGCGGAGTCAGATTCGCATTAACTCGAATTTCTTTCTATCTTTCTTCCTTCCTTTCTTTCTTTCTTTCTTTCTTTCTTTCTTTCTTTCTTTCTACGTTCATATATGTCTACTTCCGTTTATATCTTGGTGTTCAAATATATCAGTGTCTCATTATTCATATCTGTTCCGGTTCTATTTATTCTTCCATTCATTATATCTACTTTCATTATATAACTTCCAGCCGACTGTTGCTTGTTCATATCTATCTATCTATCTATCTATCTATCTATCTATCTATCTATCTATCTATCTATCTATCTATCTATCTCAGTTTGATTCTATCTATCTATCTATCTATCTATCTATCTATCTATCTATCTATCTCAGTTTGATTCTATCTATCTATCTATCTATCTCAGTTTGAATCTATCTATCTATCTATCTATCTATCTATCTCATTTATCTATCTATCTATCTATCTATCTCAGTTTGATTCTATCTATCTATCTATTCTATCTATCTATCTATCTCAGTTATCTATCTATCTATCTATCTATATCTCAGTTTGATTCTATCTATCTATCTATCTCAGTTTGATTCTATCTATCTATCTATCTATCTCAGTTTATCTATCTATCTATCTATCTATCTATCTATCTCAGTTTGATTCTATCTATCTATCTATCTATCTATCTATCTATCTATCTATCTATCTCAGTTTGATTCTATCTATCTATCTATCTATCTATCTCAGTTTGAATCTATCTATGTCAGTTTGATTCTATCTATCTATCTATCTATCTATCTATCTATCTATCTATCTATCTATCTCAGTTTGATTCTATCTATCTATCTATCTATCTATCTATCTATCTATCTCATTTGATCTATCTATCTATCTATCTCAGTTTGAATCTATCTATCTATCTATCTATCTCATTTATCTATCTATCTATCTATCTATCTATCTATCTATCTATCTATCTATCTATCTCAGTTTGATTCTATTTATCTATCTCAGTCTCTTATCTATCTATCTATCTATCTATCTATCTATCTATCTATCTCAGTTTGAATCTATCTATCTATCTATCTATCTATCTATCTATCTATTTATCTATCTATCTATCTATCTCAATTTGATTCTCTCAACTAAGCTCCGATCAGCACTACTGCAGGATGATCCACAGGTTGCCTCTGGAGATGTTAAAGAAATACAAATGTGCTGCAACAGGGATTAGCTAGCCACACTAACAGATTGAAATATTTGGAATCAAGCAACCCACAATATAAATACTGAAATTGTTAATATGAAATATGAACAAAGTAAAAAAAGAATATATGAAAACGAATTGGTTGTTTAACATTTTTATTCTGTTGTCATGTCTCAATGTCAATGGAACCATTAATAAAAAAGAAAAAGCGTCTCTCGTTATTTCGAATGTGTATTTGCATCAAAGTAAACGAACCGAATCCAGTGAAGTCCTAAGGGACAAAACGCGTTACACGAAAACTTTTACACTTTGTCATACAACTTCTCTTTCAAATTTTCATATATATATATATATATATATATATATATATATAGTCATCGACGAAATTATTCGTACAACCATCAATTTTGTATATTTTTATCCATTTCTCAGAATCTAATGCGCCTGTATGATGCCAGTATTTTTTTATATGTTAATAGACACAAAAAGGAATATAATATTCAATTTTTAGAAAAATAGGTTAAATACAACAAATTTGAAGGCGAATTATGCAAATTGTTTCGTCCTGTATGTATGTATATATATATATATATATATATATGCATATTTCATCCACAGACAGACTGTTTCGCTGTATCACACCTCATCAGTGTGGCTAAACGTCCGGTTGCCTCTAGCTAGGATTGAAACCAGACTAAATTGGCATCAGTCGGAGATTCTACTACTAAGCCATTCGCGCACGGCAGAGATGAAGGTGAATTTAATCGTATTTATTTTTAGATAAACACACAGTGACTGAGAGGACTTGATTCGCTTTACCGAAGAGTCTTGCATTATCAGCCGTAATAGTCACTGTTTACAAATTCACACTTCCTCCCCAGAGAGCTCAACCGAAATAAATTTTTCAGGAGCATATATATTATCATACCGGGATGAAACGCATCACACGAAACAAAAACTTTTACCACTATGTCATACAACTTTTCTTTCAAATGTGTCATATATATATATATATATATATATATATGTCTGTGTGTGTATGTGTGTGTGTGTGTGTGTGCAATTTAAACAAGTCTTATTCAATTAAGTAAGCAGCATCTGTCTTAATATTTTAATGCATTTTTTGAATACGTTGTTGCACATCTGGATAGACGTACCAAATTTAATATTTTGGTCTCTTTTTTTTTGTTTAAGAACTCTCAACTGTTTATCATCAGGTACTGAATGTTGTCAGTATTGCAAACAAGTTTTATTGATTAAATCCTCGCATTTTTAGAAGCTTATATTTAAAATTTAAATATACGTGTATTGTATTTATTTTACATGACAATAAAAAAACAAAAAATTATCTCAGATGAATTTGAAAAGTTATAAATTACATTTTTAAAATCTTCATTTCCCGATGAACATTGTAGTACATAATTATTTATTTTGCTAATATCCGCGAATTTCACCCTCCATAGATGGTGTCTTGGAACACATCTACCGTGGATAATGAGACCACAGAAATGCTGAATAGGCAAATTCACTACTTATATCTTTATCTAAACAAACATTGTTCTTTTGAAATATTTTTTCCTGCGATAGCTCGAAAATATGGTTTTATTTTTGGCATCTATGTTTAACCATTACGTTCGCCAGGTATTTTTTTTTTTACCTGGTGTCCGCTGTCAAAGTTAAATAACATCAACGGTTGTCTTACTAAGAATGTGGCAGTACTATCTGCTACTAGTGTGGTTTAGGTTACTAACTGTTTATTTTGCGTTCTCCTTTTTTGTCATTGTCAATTAACGGAGAACTCGTAACGGAGAAAAGGGCTTCGGGCAACCGAAATTCAACATAAAAACAAAACAAAAAGAAAACAAAAACAGGCGAGAGACGATAGATAGAACCAAATATTTGAAATGTTATCCTTTTATTATTATGCATAATTATGTCTTTCACATGGTCACGCAAAGTGCACAGGGTAATTTTTATTTTTGTGAAATATTAGCCTCAAGCAGACAATACATACTTGGCTTGGTTTGAGTAACAAGTGTAAATGACCCAGTGAGGATGGAACAATGTTCAGTAGTAATGACTTATGAGATCTGTTTGTTAACCATTACCACATCATTTACTAAGATTAAAGTCAAGAAAGACAGAGGGAAATTGAGTAATCTACAAAATCCAAAGTACCTATAATGTAATCGATCCGGATCAGGAATCTCTATTTCAGTTACTTTCTCACCGACGTGACGTGGCTTCCCTCTGTCTTTTCTACAAATATTTTCATGGCAAATTTTCTGGTGAGCTTCCCCACTCCCGGTTCCCGTCTACATGAATTTAAGCTTGCTACTAGATTAGCAACTATGTCTTACCGTTTTAGTGTTGAACTAGCTAGATAAAACCACCACTTCTACTCTAACTTCGTTTTCTTGCACTTCCCATCCGTGAAACTCCCTTCCGATTTCTTGCTTCCCTGATAACTACAACCTTCAAAAATTTTAGTGCAATCGCCATCTTTTGTTTTCTTAAACCCTGTTGATTTTTGTCCTTTCCTCAATCTTCCCCACTCTCAGTCTTCTTATTCTCTTGCACTTTCACTTCCTGTATCTACCCCCACCCCACCCACTGCGTTCTAGTCGCATTATTGCCTTGCTTGGGACGAAAGGATTAAAAAATGGAGCTAGGTTGAAAGAATAAGGAGTGTGAGGGATGACAAACAGACAAACCTTACTAAGTGCTAAAAAAAGATAGAAAGCTGTGGAGAGCCACGATCACGCATTTCTTGAAGGGATACGACACATAGAAGAAGAAGCTTAGTTAAGAGACACTCACTGTGGATTGAACTCTCTAATCAGTAATATTGTTCTGTAACACCGACACTACGATCTTTGCACCCCATCATTCGACAGAACAGAGATGCTATCTGAAGAATCCCCGACTAAGAACTTATTCATGACTGATTCCTATCAGCAAATTGTCTACATTGGCATTTTACTGAAGATTGGTGACCTAGAGCGCTCATAGTCTTGAAAATCAACCAGCCTTGAAACGTTCGTGTTACCCCCCCCCCCCAAAAAAAAACCGTATTCAACCTAGAGGACCAAGTTTACTGAATGTTCACCAAGAGCTTGGTTATGCATTTCGAGGGTCTCCGTAGTAGATCTACGAAACTTCACGCCAAAAATCTTAATCAAACAGAATTTGTTAGCCATCGTAAAGACCGAAGTTTGAATAGAGCGTTACAAAACACCGTGTAGACAAGGAGAAGCCTCTTGGTAAACTGTTTCAGTAGGTTGGGTACCAAAGTCCATTCGTGCATTACCGATGACATCTAGGGTATGTTGATAACCTACATCCAGCGGCAAGGCCCGGTCAAATCACGCTGAAACACCGGTTCTCGTTCGATCACCGAAGTTATGCATCGTAGAGCCGGGTCAGTACTTAGATGGGGGACCGCTTGGGAACACCTGGTACTGTAAGCCCGCAAAGTCCAACCCTTACCTCACAGTTGGTGGGGGGGTGTAAACGGTAGTGTCAGAGCTATGCCGCCCGGAACTTCGTTCCTGGTAGGGCCACCCAAGGCGGACAGGTCTGACACACACGCCGGCTAACAAGGGCTCTGGTGAAAATCCATCTGCATCGGCAACCGGCGGCTTCTGGTCGTTCCTGTCTCTGCGTCTGTGTGGACCCCGCGGCAAGCAAGAACGTTATCCGAGTAGGCCTGGGTACCCTACTTCTTTAATTTATCCCAAGAATCTTCTTCTCATAACAGGAAGAAGCCGGCTCAATCCGCCCAGGGTGAATGCCGCATCAGTACAGTAGAGTACAGTAATGCCCGGGAAATTGGGGCTTTTGAGGAGCGTTCAACCACCTTGTAATTGCTGTTGTTCACAGGTTCACCGTGAACCGGGGTTGCAGCACGTGTTAGGGTCCCAGCTATGGGTGAAATAGTGAACCAGCAAACTGGGTCAAAACGCTATGACGAATAAAAATTACATTTTTATCGTATAAATTTTCAGTAATTGATTTTAATAGTAAAAAGAAAGAAATTCACCAAAGCTCCCAAGAAAATTAAATTTCGGCATTAAACGACCCATAAGATGTCGATATGCCGTTAAACAAACAAATTAATCAAATCAAACAAACATTTCCGGTGAACGTTGCACTCAGAGTACGGGAAATTTCCGATACCATAACATCCATAATTTTTATAACGAAGAACGCAAATTATCTAGACAATAAATAGGATAAATTACATGCTTATATGCATGTACGTACACACACACATACAAACATATACACACAGTGTTGAAATAATTAATCAACGCTAAGAGGTTCATGCCTTCAGTGGTCATCATATATTAGATGCTCATCTAATATGTATAACGTGAAACTGCCAGTTTTCATGCAGTGTGGGTGCCTCTGTCCACACTGATTATATCTACATACGATCTATTCACGATTCTGAGTACTCTGCCTACATAAATATAACAAATTTTAAACGATATAATTTTTTAAAAAATTTTAATTAAAAAATAATTTTTAAAAATATGATTTTAAACTTCAAACGGTATTATCGTGAATACCTTGTATTTGAAACAGACGCCTATTTTGTTTATTATTAAAGCGTGTGTATTATGTCTGTCGGGCTGTTCAGGGATCCAACCTGTGTCTCCTCTTTGCAGGGTAAACCACCATTTAATATGGCGTGCTTTACCGTTCGGCCACGAAGAACAGGACAGTCAAGCAAGGTTCTATTATCACTTTTTAAGGAAAGCAGCGGCTCGGATTGAGGAATCGGAGAGCTGAGTTCGAATTCCAGTCGAATCCATTACACTCACTTACGTGCTAATACCCTTGGGAAAGCTATGAATCCTCTTCTTCTCCCCACCCCCCAGCTATGGGTAAAATCAGGACAGACGAGGTTCTATAGCTTTGGATGGCAACTGGTCTACCGCAGAAAGAAATGGCAACCTACTGTGGGAAAA